TGGTATGTTAAATACAGCTTTTATAGTCTGCAAAGGACTAGTAAGTCTTTAATGGTTTTCCAATTACAGTCAACGTTTTTGTTAGCACATGTATATAAATAACCTTTTTGTACATTCAGTTTTCAAATTAGAATCATTTTATAAATAAGCAGTTTTTTTAAGTATATTTTATATAATCTCAAAACTATATAATTAAATCGTTGAAACAAATGTGGCTCTAATTTACTCTATTATACAAAATTAGCTCAAGCTCAATTATATTATATACATAAATAAAAAACTATATTTTTTTCATTAGCTTTTGCAGCTCAATGGTAATTTTGTAGTCCATCCATGTGTGTACCCAGGCTGAAGTACCCTAGTTAACTAGGTACATTGGCCGAACGTAGGCTGGTGGTTAGTTGGCCCAACGTTGGCTAGTGGTTAGTTGGCCTAACGTTGGCTAGTGGTTAGTTGGCCCAACGTTGGCTAGTGGTTAGTTGGCCTAACGAAGTATTCAGCCGTTGGGCCTTCGTTGGCAATTGGTGGGTTGGCCCAACGTAGGCAAGTTGGCCAATACATACCGTTGGCCAACCGTGGGAGACAGTCGTTGGGCCAACCAATCCCCAACCATTTTTGTTGATAGGGAAATGGCATTATCATTAAACTCTTTATGTTTTGATTCTCCAAGAAGACAATAATATACAGCACTATATAGAAGGGAAGGTACAATGTTTTACATGATAAAAATAACAAAATATAACAAGCTACATTGCCTACAATATAATTTACATACTTACATGCTTAATAATACTATACAATTTACCCTCAAGATTCCGTTAAAAATTGATTTTTAACGTTCCCTTAGTACAAAATATTTGAAAAAAAAGAGTTCTGTATATATACAACGACCGTACCAATGTCTAAACTTTACCTTTAAATGGATGCTGTTGTTACATGTTTTATACATTTACACATCATACAGAAGTTAAATGTTTTTACGTAATAAAAATAACGAGATATAACAAGCTACATTGCTTACAATATAATTTACATACTTATATAAATGATAATACTATACAATTTACCCTCAAAATTCCGTTTTTAACCGACTTCCCCACTACCAACAAAAGGAGGAGGTTCTCAATTTGTTTGTGGCGATGTTTTTTTTTTCTATGTATGTTCACCAATTTCTCTGTGATTCTTTTACCGATCAGTGTGGTTCCACCACCAAAATAACCAGGAGAGTTTCTATTTGGTACCTTGTATATTATGTTTAAGTATAATATTTGTTTCGGTGAAAAATTCTGAAAACCTTAAATATTCAACATTTATTTTGTTTACATTTGTGCAGATTGTTTACATTTGTCCAGAGAAGGCAATAAATAATAATAACATTCCTACAGCTGTTAGTTGAAACCATTTAAATGAAGCTACAGACAATTCTTCATGAAACAGTTGCTTCAATATTGATCAATAAACTATTTCTTGCCATGGAGCCTAAATGAATTACATTGAGAAAAATGCATTTTGTTTAGGTTACTATAAAAAATGTATTTTAACGTTTGACCTGATTTGTGTATACAGTAATTCTGTTTTTAGTATTGAATATTTTGACTTACAAAAACATGTATGTTTCAGTGAATAGCTGTATGATATTGACAAATAAAGGTGTATTGTGAAAACCAAAGCATTGGTAAAACAGGTCTAAATATAAATTAAATGCAATTATTCCTTACAAGACCTAAGAAGTGACAGTGCATAATCGTCAATTGTCTTAAAAGTGTTAAATATTTTAATTACTAAACATGCATTTGCAAATGTGGAATGTTTATTGATATTCTCTACCCAGTTACTATATCATATCAATACTATTATGCCTGCTTCGGAAAGTCCTAGAGGAAGATGATTTGCAATTTCGACTAGGCTATATCTTGATCAACCACCTACATGGCTTGCACCACTTTTAGCTGAACCAATCTTTCATATACATATTTCATTTGCAGATGTGGAATGTTTATTAATATTCTCTACCCAGTTACTATAACATATCAATACTATTATGCCTGCTTCGGAAAGTCCTAGAGGAAGATGATTTGCAATTTCTACTAGGCTATATCTTGATCAAACAAAACCCCCTACATGACTTACACCACTTTTAGCTTAACCAATCTTTCATATAATATTTTCCAAAGGTACTATACGTGTTAACGACTAATTTTCCACTTTTAAGAGATTTTTTAGTGCTGTTTTCTGAGGAATAACTTTCATATTGTTCCAAAAGGCTTGAGACGTTACTGTATTTCTTTTTATAATGTAGAAGTACACCGATTGCAGGAAACGATGATGTCTGACATTTCAATGTATCTAAAAAAGACAATTAGTTTTTCATTAGGCCTAATGTAATGGACAACTCTTTCTTTCTTAAGGAATATCTAAAAATGTGTATTTTCATACCCATTGATTATGTAACCTGAACAGGTGACTCAAGCAGTTTTAAAATAATGATTATTCTGTGGAACTTTTGATTGTTTCAAACAGTTTTGCTTATCAAAAAACCTCAAGTACATAAAAAATTATACAGTCACTAAAAATCATGAAATAATTTATTTTTGTAAAAAAATACAACCGACTTCAAACGCTCTAAAAAGAATGAAATAATTTCAATAAAGTAAACTTTTGTATTAGGCAAGCTCATGTATTTCAAGTCGGCGCGGCTCAAACTGCAAATCACAAATGTTCTATATGAATAGGAAAATAATTTAGTTTGATATTATGATAGGGAAAAGAAGCTAGTTTAGTATTAAAACGTTACTTTTCCAAGTTAGAAACATTTAAATGCGTTATAATCTTAAAGATACTCATTAATACCACTATAATGCCGATCTCTGATTACGGTAATAAAATAACACTTAACGCATAACTATGAAAAACTAGCAGAGTACCCGTCCTTCGTACGGGGTTGGAATCCTTATATATAATACGTGAAGGCGATTTCTTGAAAACACTACTCCTCCGTTAATAATGGACGGATTTTTACAAACGACGTGTCAAAATAAAGTATTTTTTGTGTAGACGCCCCCTTTCACCAATTCATGTAATAAAAATCCTCGGGCTTTGCCCCACAGGCCATCAAAGTTGGATTTTCTCCCATAAGATTAACATGGGGGAATTTAAATATTTAATTGGAAACTTTGTCCCCACTAATTTGAGAGAACGGCTGGGCGTAGAAACTTGGTAGAGGTGTCCAAAGAAAGGTCTTGGTCTGTAGATGAGATATCAAAAGAAAAACTAAGCAAAATCCCTTAGGGCTCTGCCCCAGAAGCCTTTAAAGATCCCTCCACAGAGTTGTTTACATTTTGGCCATGTGAATAATACTTTTTAATAAAACAGCTGTTCATTTTTAAATTGTATTTCAAACCACACATATTTATTGGGTTACTGAATTGTACCAAATAAGTATTTGCAATGTTATTTTCTGATTTTAAAATTAATTTTCCTCTTTATCATGTCATGTTTTGCAATATAACTTTCTATTACGAAATCAGTGGAAAATCCTTTGATAACAGAAACTCTTAAATTATTTCTTATTGAACTATCTTATATCTATTGTACGGGTTGGTGTCTGCCTTTTTCACCACTTTTGCCTAAATTTTATCATATTATTCTACACATATCAAATATTCATGTAGAAATATCTGCTCTTATCGTGTCTAATAAAATCCAAACATAGAAACATTGCCTAAAATGGTACCCATCTTGACAAATAATTTGCACCTGCCTATATTACAGACTTTGGCGCACTGGGTCGGTAACATTATTGAAAATAACACGACATTTTGGCTGTAAAATATGGTACAAAGAGAAAATACTATTTTAGCAGCTACTGTCATGACAGAAAGGTCATATTCCTTTTAAACTAGACCTCATAATCCTTTATAAGATACGTTGATTTACAATATGTAAACGTCAATATATACGCAACAGCCAATTTACAGTATTTTTTCTTTTTGGAAATGTCCCATTGCTATGTCATTTGCATTATTTGTTGCCAATGAAGCCGCAAGACCATATAAACTAGGAGGTCCCTAACAGTTTAAGAATAAAAGCCAACTTCCCTTCAAGTATTCCACTACACCTATCATTCCGTAGAGAGATTATATTGACAACTTTATGTTATTGATAAGGCTGAGACAACTAACTGACATCCCCCATGTCAAGGAATTCCAGCTTTAACAGTAACCCCACAATAAATTTCTCATAACTATGCTAGAGGGTTCATTCATGGCACAGAAGTACGATATGAACTGACGCGACGTGACGAAGGAAAAATCAAACTTACACTGTAACGGACATACCTCCCTTTGAAGTTAGAACATTTCTTCCCAAAAAATATTTTCATTTCAAATAAAATCATATTACACTGATGAAATCACAGAAGTGTTTAACTACAAAAGACCCACCAATACGATTTTAATACTATTTAAAGGTTCTTCCAAAGGAAGAGATATCATATAACATACTAATAATAACTCCGATGAGTCAAATGACGTACGGTATGGGAAATATTTTAATCATTGAATGATCAACCAAATTTGGCAACTAACGCAATTAAAATCATTATTGTTTTCACACTTACTACCCTTTAAACAATGCTAAATGCTCAAAATATGTATATTTCACCCAATTTATCGCAGTTAGATGAATTAACGTAAGCCTTGAAAGTAACCGTCGATTTCGACGGGTTTCCCCTAGTATAAGTATAAAATGCTTATTGCAGTTATACTCAAGCTATGCGTTTGCAATAAGGGAGGACACAGTTTGATAAAATTTGCTTTTTTAAATTTACAGTATTCTATAGAATTACACATCTACCATAGCCATAATGTTCTACCACTTCACCTAAACAATAGAGAATAATAAATTATCAACAATTCGCAAAATATCACAAATTATTCATGAAATGAAAAACATAAACTCGGGTCGGTCGAGTTCCGAGAAGCGTCCTAATCCGCTGGGTATCACAGCCGAACGGACAGACTATAGACTTTGATTGAAATTTCAAACTCGCCGATTACAGGTTTGTGGTCACTAACCATATACTCTTCCACACTTTTGTAGCTTATGGGGGTTATATTCACTTTTTCACTATCCCTGTACAAAATACGATCAGTCCACGCAGGCCGACGGTTTGTAACATAATCGTTTGTCCCAAGTTTAAACTTGAAACTTGGAGGAAACTTGATGTCAGCTTCTTGCAGCTTTTGAAAGAAGCCTCCGTTTTTCATCATACGGTTGATCTCATCATGTTCAAAAAGCTTATCAAGCTGTTTTTCCCGAATGTGGTCTTTTATATCCTCGACACTGAGGTTTAGATCTTGATGCAGGCGAAAGTTTAGGTCGCCAAGCCAAAACACAAGATCGTTTTTGAAAATTGTGTCTACTTCAGTTTTGGTGAAAGACTGATATCTTTCTGCATACAACATCTGATCCAATCGTTCATTAAAACCTTTCTCGTGAGCAGCCAGATGAAGGTTGACAAAACAAGTTGGCATGTTGTAAAGATTTAGCCTCACACTCGTGGCTCCCTTGTTACCTAAAATTTTGGCTATACCTAGCGCTATACTTCCAGTTTCAACCTTATTTATAAATTCTAAATGCTTTTCTAGAGCGAACACTTGTATCATTATTCCAGACAAAACATACAACCGATTACTTTTAACTTTTTTGTAGCCGTGCTCAGCGAGTGCTTTCTTGAAAGCAGGCTTCCATTTGGTGAATCGGAGGGACCCAATTTCTTGCAGCCCAATAATGTAAAGGTCTGGGAGGGACTGTCCTAATGGTGGTGGAAGTTGAAGAAGAGTATTCAAATCTGGCGGTGGATCCTGCTCAGCTACATTCCATGTGATAAGAAACAATTTTTATATCACTCCATTCATTATCTGTTTCTTCTAATACAATTTGGAACTCACTTGTAAATGAACTGCTTGATGTTTTAACTGGTTAAAAATAGAAAACTAGACCAAAACCACAGACCGAATGCAACTGTCAGACAAGTTGTTTATTGGTGAAATCACGAATATGTAGATAATTGATACACTTAACCCTGCATCTAGCAGCTACAAATCTCTGTACTGACAGGCCATTTTTACTGTATGTACATTGTTCATAGATTACTTTAGAAGTGTATAAATTGTGTTCTACCATACTAAAGTTAAAAGTATATACTGTTATATATTTTATTTTTCAGGATATTACAAGAAACAAATTTAAACCATTGTCAGAACCCAAAAAACTTCTTGAACTGTTTACTTGTAAGAACAAAAAAAAATTACCTGTACCTTGGGAAAATACTAAAGATTTTTTTTATTAGAAATCCAAGATATAAAAAAAATTTTAGAAAGTGGTTCTTTACATGAAAAAATATTTTGTATCTAAAAAACATAAGAAATAATGTTACGTCACACAGAGCTAAACACGTAGTTGTCTCATTCCTACGTTTTTATTCTCAACTTCCACAACATTGTTACATCAGGGTAACCAAACAAACTAAAAATCAAAATAAACGTTAGAATCTCATAAAGCAATATCTAAAAATACAGTAATGTTTTCTGTTGAAACGTAGCAGTTAAAGAAATTGATGCTCAAACGGTAACTTGTCGTTTGCCAGATGCAGGGTTAAAGCATATACTACACTGTCATCTAATAACAAAATTGATAACATATTAGAATGCACTGGTGGATAAAGGCTAGGGTTCAATATTTGTAACTGCTACTGATAACAACTAGATACGACTTTTTCCCAAACATTAAATAGGTTACGATGATTTATATTTTTCTACCATCTTTCTTCAATGTTGTATATATTGTATACTGTATATTCAATATTTGTATCTGTTACTGATAATAACTAGATTAAACTTTTTATAGGTTACGATAATTTATAGTTTTCTGCGATTTTTCTGTAATAACATGATAGTTACCATTACAACAGCAATTGATACATTTTAAGTCAGTTTCTTTAAAATATACTAAAACTTGCATCAACACTAAACTTTTACTAGCAATAAAAAATGTTGAAGAATCTATATTTATAAAAGAGGAAGTTTGTATATTTGAACGTTATGAGCTCGGACACTGTTGGACCGATTGCCACGAAACTTGGTACATACGTGTAGAATCTTATGGAACAGGTTTATACACCACCAATTTCGTTATCCGTCCAATCGGCTCCGCCCCAGTGGCTCTGGAGTTTCCCCTGTTAACCTTATGAGTACAGTAGAACCTATTTAATCCGAACCCCTGTAATCCGAACGTCCACTAATCCGAACCCCTCATTGCTGTACTCTATACACAGTACAGCAGTTCTTTATGTATACTGTATTTAATTTACAGTACTCAGTGTTCAATTATAAAAAGTTAATAGGTTTACCAACAGGGTACAGCACTATTATTCTTTTTAAATTTATGACAACAGCTAATTTGTACCATAGACAAATAGAATAAATATAGACTGTCAAAGGAAGGTTCTGGCGCCCACCGCTAGGTTTGCCGTGTAGTTACGGCGCACACCGCTGCAGGCGAGGAGCGCAGGAGCCGTATGTGACCAGCATGCTGCAGCAGTGTGCGCCGTAACTAAACGGCAAACCTAGCGGTGGACGCCAGAACTTATGCTAACCGCAGCACAGCTGACGGTCTATATTTCTATACAATGAATATCTTGTGATTGCCATTGCAATATGGACATGTTACACTACTACTGCTGGTAACTAGAGTAGTGTGATGTCTGAGGTGAGGTAGCAATTGGTTGCTATAACTATGTGGACTACCACTTGACTGCTTGCTATGACTATTGCTTATGGTGTTATGTCTATTGTGATGTAGCATTTTGTTACTATGACTATATGGACTAGTTGATTGACCGCTATGATTCAAGTCGATTGCTTCTAATGTTTGACATCTAGATTTTAGGAATGCGATGAAATTGAGAATGTTGGTACATCTGACGATACCATGTGGCTCTCCCAAAGTCTAAGTGTAGGGTGATCAAGCTTCTTGGTCAATGTGAATATCAACAAAGTATCCCAACTTTGCACTGGTTGACCTAGGTTTTCTAGAGCACGTAAATGCTTGTTTACAGAATCTATTAATGATCGTAATTCTAATCCAGATTCCCTTTAAATTTTGCTGATATTGTGTAGAGAAGCTATGTGATTGTTGATGAGGATTCTTTTGTTTTAAAATCGTTCCTTGAGTAGGGACCAAGCAGTCGTGTAGTTTACTGAGGTAACTTCTAAGGATTCTATGACGCTGATAGCTGGACCGTGAAGTGATGTTTTGAGGTAATGAAACTTTTGTGTGTCTGTTAGTGACGTGTTGTCATGGACGAGAGAATGAAATATTTCTTGGAACGATGTCCACTCCTCGTATTTCCCACAAAATGTAGGGAGTTTTATAGTAGGCAATTTGACACTGATTGATGAGTTATTAGAAACTACAGAGCTAGATGGGGTTGAAATTGGTTGGTTGTCAGTGAGGAGAGCTTCTGCTTGTACCCCACAACCAATTTCTCAAAACTGTGCTAGAGGGTTATTCATTGGCACAAAAGTACGATATGAATTGACGCGCCGTGACGAAGGAAAAATCAAACTTACACTGTAACGGATATACCTCCCTTTGAAGTTAGAACGTGTCTTCCCAACAAACAGATTTTTAAAATATAAAATCATAGTTTAATCTGCATTACACTGATGATATCACGGGTGTTTAACTACAAAAGATCCACCAACGCAATTAATGACATTATTGTTTTTACACTTATTAAACTTTAAACAATGCTAAATGCTCAAAGTATGTATAGTTTCACTCAATTTATCGCAGTTAGATGAATTAGCGTAAGCCTTAAAAGTAACCGTCGATTTCGACGAGTTTCACCTAGTATAGATAATTACAGTATTAAATAACACTAGTGGCTTGTAGGGACATAAGTCCCTAAAAAGCTCCAATGTAAAACAAATTATTGTATTGTTTAAATAACCTCAGAATCAAATTTTCTTCACATATCTAAGTACATCATTTTTTACAGTTTATTGTTTTTTTCTTTATGATAAAAATAATGATAATAAAAATGCTTCCCTGATTGAAATATTGGAACTTGTCATCGTCAAATATGAAAAGGTGAATAAAGGTTTGTTGAGATAAGCTTAGTTCTTAGTGAAAACCGCTAAATTAGCATCCCGACCCAGTTATTATTTCTATGTTTAGGACTACGCTCCTTTTGTAAAGGTTTGACAAAATTAGTGTTAAGTAAAGGCATTCCACTGACATAACTTAACCCTAAATTTGTTTCTGTTTGACATTACAAAAACTACTACTATTAGCCCAGTGTAAATATATGTGGTGGTAATCCTCCTAAGGTGCAATTGACTTTACATATTCTATAAGGAAAATGCCTAATCAAATTTTGATTACTAACTATTTTGCGAATGGTTAGGGTTTCGTTAGACCCTAATATAAGACTCTATTGTTGATGATTTATTTAGAAAGTATATGCCATTGAAACAGTTTTTATTCTTTGAATTTATTCTCTAAAGCTACTCATTTAGGAGTTACAGTGTGTTAAAACTAAGAAAAAATTACGTGCCGTGTAGGGGCCTACATTCGACGCCATGTATCTCTTAAATGAGTAAGTTTAGAGATAAAATGCTAAGGGTAAAAAAGTCTAAAAATTTAATCTACAGTCTAAAAAGACCTTAAGTTTAAAAAAAAACATAAAAGATAATGATCCTATGGCACAAAATTTTAAAATAAGAAAACTAGGTACTTTATGGTCTTTTTAGAATGTAGAATCAATTTTAAGACTTATTTACACTTAGCATAAAATATAGGGTCTTCCATAATATAAATCAAAGTTGTGGGTCATATTGGAAAAATGGCTGCTAAATTGTTTTTTTTAACTTTTTCTAAAACTGTTTGAATATACTATAAAATGTACAGTAAAATTCAAAATTAATATTTTCTACTTGTTACTCTACTTATAGAGCTAACAGTACCCGTTGGATTGAATGAACAATGGAGTGAATGAACAGGCAAATAATTTGTAAAATTACTTTTTGGAGTGAACCACCTTGGAGTGAATGAAACATCTCAATAATTTCAATTCCAACTCTAAAAGATGTTGCGTTATTACCTGCTTGTATAGCCTTCATCTATGGCGACGCAATGCCCGCCTGCATCTTAGGCCTTCCGGGACTCGAATCTTACACCTTCCGGGACTCAAATCTTAGAGCTTCCAGGAATTAGACCTTCAGCAACTCTCATTTTATAAAAATTTATTTAAAATATATACGTTGTGTGCCCAAGGTCTAATCCCGCAAGGTCTAAAACGGTATCAGAGGATGGGTTTTTTGCATTGACTGTACTCTTAGACCTTCCGGGACTTAGACCTTCGACATACTACCAGATTAGACCCTCAGCAACAAGTACAAACTGCAAAATGTGTGTCTAAGGTCTAATTAGACCTTCCGGGAATTAGACCTTCAGCAACTGATCCCACCCATTGTAACGTGTATGTTTACAATTGTTCTTTCTGTTGTTAAATAACAATACAATTTTTTATCATTACTTTAAGTACCACCTGATTTTGTGCATGCTTCGGCTAACATCCTCGTTCGTAGGTACATATCTTCATATTGTAGATTTCTTTCATTATACAGGGTAATCAACTCAAGGAGGCCACCATTGGGATATCGGCAACGGTAAGAATTGAGAAAAATTTAAATGGGGGACATTCCTTAATTTTTTGTGACAGTTAAAAAAATGAATTTAGTTTTTAAAAATTTAGCCGCATTTTCCAACATGGCGGCCAACTTTGAAATTTCTTACACCCTTATTTTATCATGTTTTTAGATAA